TGGTTTGTGGGTTTTGAGTTGGATGTGCAAGGTAGGTTGCCATCCGCATCTAGGGTTAGGTTGTTATTGTGATTGTAGTTGGTGAGAGTTGGTTTGTTGCTGTGTTCGTTGATGTTGTTATTAATTTTATCGTTGTTGTTGTTGTTGTTATTCTTATTATTACCATTATTATTATTATCGTTATTATTATTATTATTATCATTACAGTTATTATTATTATTGTGCTCAATGTTGTTGTTGATCGTGTTGCTGATGTCGTCGTAGTTGTCGTCGTGGTTATTAATGGGCGTGCTAGTGATGATGGAGTCTTTATTATTTGTGTTGTATTTTGTATTGTTGTTGCTATTGTTGTTGGATATGATGGCTTTGATTCTTTTAATTTCGTTTTTTACGATGTCATCTACGTTTTCTTTGTGGTTATGAAAGTTTTTATTTCTCTGGAGGAACCTGATGTGGTCTTCGATAGGTTTTGTATCATCTATCAGGTCGATGTTTTCGTAGTTTATGGTGTTGTGGATGGAAAGTTCGTTGTTGAGATGGTCGATGATCGTGTTTTTGATGGTTTTATATGTGTTGTCGAGAATTTCTGTAATTGCTTGGTTGAATGTGTCGTTCTTCTTGGGTGGGTTGATGTTGTCCTTTAGGTTGTTAATTGTTGTTTTGAGGACCTTCACTTTGTCTTCTTTCCAGTTGTTTATGTGATGGGTGATTTGTGTTTTTTTGTAGATGAGTCTAGCAGTTGTTCTGATTTGTTGAAATTTGTTGTTGTCCATTCGATGATGATGATGTTGGGCGGTTTTGGTGTTGTTATTCTTGTTGTTGTTGTTGTTGTTGTTTGGGTTGCGTTTCACGTTATTTTTCGTATTGTTGTTTTTATTGTGGTTGTTGCCTGGGATGATGGGTTGTAATGGCCTGTATTTAAAATGGGTTCCTGGATGATGGAGCTGTATTATTGGGTTGGTGGTTGGCGGATCTGGTAGCAGTGGCATTCTTCTTGTCGTTCCATGGTTCGACGGTAGAAGGGTGTGATAAGATGCGTGTTGATGTGTCGTGGGAGAGTTTCGAGGAAATCGTTGTAGTTCGCCCGACATGTTGCAGGTTAGGAGTGGAAGTCGTTGGGGTGGCCTGGTGTGTGAGGAATGGCGTAGGTGCAAAGTCAATATTTCCCTATATATACAGCAAGGAACACTGATGATGATTCATTTGGAATCGAAATATGGCCTTATTTGCAGCATGAATTCGAAAAATAAGTTTATTTTGAATTTTAATAAACTAAACGTTCACCAAAACAACGTCATATATTATATGCACACAAAACTATAACTACATAAATCGTTATTAAATATATTTATATTTTTATATTTATACATTTAGACTATACAATTAAGTAAGGTGTGTGGTGTCAAAATATTTAGAATTTGAACCGCGCTCGCTTACATATGAAACGCTGATTACTGTTGGTTTTATAATGAAGTTATATAATAAATAAATAAATATATATATATATAATATAGAATCCGTTAGTCGATGTCAATTTATTATGAGTAGCTCCGTTGTTAAGAATGGGTATTAGTGTATGACACAATCAAAAATCAATAACATTAAATCAATAAACTTTATACCGATGTGAATAATTGAATTGATTGTAAGTATAGTATAGGAATCGAATATAATGTTTATACCGGCTAATTCAGTATCGTACATTTTTTACTATTAAAATGACGTCATTTCCGCCAACGATTTCGCCATAAAGTGTCAATCCTATTTTAATAATTCTTTTGTCATTGTTTAGAGGGATTATCATTTTATTAAACTCCAAAAAAAATTATTACGTTGATAATTTAAAAAGTTGTATTCGGTTGTAACACATATATTCAACATAGAAATTATAGTCTGAATGAATAACTGAAAATATGCCTGATATACATATGAAATGAAACAAATTAATCAAGTCTTATTTAAATTAAACCGGATAAAAATGTAATTAAACAATAAACAAACAGATAGACAAACAAACAATCAAAAAACTAACTAACAAATTAGCAAACAATACGAACAAACAAGCAGACAGACTAACAAATAAAATATGTATTTGTGTGTGTGTGGTGTGTGTTTGAGAGAGAGAGAGAGAGAGAGAGAGAGAGAGAGAGAGAGAGAGAAATGAAATGAAAGAAATAAAACAAACCAAAATTTTATTTAAAACGATCCGGTTAAAAATATATTTAAATAATTAATTCCAGCACAAAGCTTATCCATGGAAACCGTGTAAATGACTGAATGGATGAACGAATAAACGAACGAAAGAACGAATGTATGAATGAATGGATGAACCTGCGAATGTATGAACAAACGAACGAACGAATAAATGAATGAACAAACGCACGAACGAAGGAACGAATGAATAAATGAATGAACATGAATATATATTGACATATACACACAAACATTTACTTGTACATTTATAAATTTCAAAATTGTTCATATAAGTAAGAAGCGTTGGCAAGTAAATTTGGTATTCATAACGACAAACATGTACACATGCATGTAAGTATCTAAAATAATTTTTCAAATAATAAATTTATTTAATAATTATATTATTAAATATATTAAATATAAAAATATTATTAATTGCGTGTGTACGTGTACGTTATCCGGTGTTCAAACCGAACGATTATTAATAGCGTGTGTACCAACAAACGAGCCAATCAGGAAGTTAGGGTGACGCTCCCAACTTTCCTTCTAGTATAGTTAGTACATTGTCGTTAAGCATGTATAATAGTGTTTTGTATATATCAAATAAGCTTTCATTGATACGAATTATTAAAATGTTGAGAAAGTATGAATGGAAATAGTATAAATAGGAGCCGAAAAAACGTTGAAGTCAGATCAGATGTCCCTCGGCGCATGGTCGGGGGCGTCTGATCTCATTTTTTTATGTTATTTTCCGCGGTTATATAGAGTTTTATCTATTGCGCGGTTATATAGTTTTATTTATTGCGCGGTTATATAGAGTCAGCATACACAAACATACACACACACACATACATACACACATACATCCATTCGTTGTTTTGTTTGTTCGATGTTTTATCCTTTTTTCTTTGCTTATTCTTCGTAATCGTACAAATAGGTAGGATTAATCCGTAAGTTGAGCTAATTTAACATAGGTAGGTGAGTTAATTTAGTAAACATAGGTAAGTTAGGTTTCTATTCTTTCATTCTTACGTTCTAGTTTATTTGTATTGTATTGTTTTGTTTGTTTTTTGTTCAACACAACACCAACAACAACATTCAAACACGACAATCAATGAAATATTTTCGTTATATTTTAGTTAAGTTCGTTATACTTATTATAGTTATTTATTATTTCTGGACGTATTTGTTGTTTATTGTTACTTATTATTTCTAGTCTTATTCGTTTATTTTACCGATATTATTATTGCGCGGTTATATAGAGATTGTACAAACACAATCACACACACATAATTCAATTCAATAATGAGTTTATTCAGCAAAAAAAACATACATACATACATACATACATACATACATACACACATACATACACACATACATACATACATACACACACACGCACACACACACACACACATACATACATACATACATACATACATACACACATACACACATACACACATACATACACACATACGCACATACATACACACATACATACACACACACACACATACATACACACATACATACACACACACACACACATACATACACACATACATACACACACACACACACATACATACACACATACATACACACATACATACACACACACATACACACATACATACACACATACATACATACACACACACACACACACACACACATACATACACACATACATACACACACACACATACATACACACATACATACACACACACACACACACACACACATACATACACACACACACACACACACACATACATACACACACACACACACACACACACACATACATACATACATACATACATACATACATACGTTGTTTTAACTTCTTTTCCTTACTTTTTTCTTTGTAATCGTACAAACAGGTAGGATAAATCCGTAAGTTGAGCTAATTGAACATAGGTAGGTGAGTTAATTTAGTGAACATAGGTAAGTTAGGTTTCTATTCTTTCATTCTTACGTTCTAATTTTTTTGTATTGTATTGTTTTGTTTGTTTTTTGTTCAACACAACACCAACAACAACAATCAAACCCGACAATCAACACATTATTATCATTATATTTGAGTTAAGTTTCATTATATCTTATTTTAGTCAAGTTATTATTTCTAGACGTATTCGTTACTTATTATTTCTAGACTATCGTTTTATTATTAACCCCCTCATGAACGGCTGCCTTGACGCGGCGAGGGGGCTTCTCACTAAATGCCGTTCAAATAAATGCTTCTTCACTTATATGTTTTTTTAAAAATGCGATTTTCTATCTTTTTCTTGGTAGCATTTTTTAGCGCGAATACTCTCAAACGTAGGTTACATTAACAATTGTACATACGTTTGTTATATTTATGACATACACAAACATACAAACTACGGTACAACGCAAGACACACACAAACATACAAACACATACATGAAAATATATACAAGTAGGATGTCGTAAGAAGTCCTTCTTATAAACATAACTTGTTGAAACGTTATTGAGCTTTAGTTAAATTTTTGTTTTGCGAATTCATTTTTGGTTCCATCAAATGTGAAATTGCTCTTCCAGAATAGAAGTCAAGAAGTCTTGATTTCATTAGCGGAGAATATATATTTGATAAACAGAATTTGAAGTTTTCTAGATGTCACAACAAAATAAACAGTTTCTAATGATCCAATGGCGTTAAAATAGCTGCATCGTGCTGAAACGCCATTAAGCTGTAAAAAAATAATTTTTTTTATTTAAATCCAAATTTAAAATAAATTCCTTGAGTTTAAAACGTTTCATAATCATGGACAGAAATTTAAATTTAAATTGGAGCAATTATTTTGCTATATAGAAATTTATTTAGAATTAATACTGTGAATTGTGCCAGTTGTACGGAAACATTCGAATACTATTTCACTGGTTGGTTGTTGATCGCAGAGCTGAAATTTTATTTTACTATTACGTTGGTTTTGTCGGCGGATGAGGTTGTGACAATTTAGGAGACAATAAAAACAAGGTTATATGTGAATGAATGAATGAATGAATGAATAAATGAATGAATGAATGAATGAGCGAACGAACGAATGAACGAACGAACGAATGAATGAATAAACGAACGGACGGTTAGTTCCCAATGCGGCCCTCACAGCAAAAAGTTTGCCCACCTCCGACATACATTCATCATTCATAAATATTTATTCTCAAAAGCTTATTTAGGTTGCGGGTGCGGTGTGGATGCGGATAATGAAAAGTGGGGATACTGGGCGATTGCGGACGCGGTTGCTGTTTGGAAAAATATTCTCTGCTTGGGACTCTACTACATAGAATTAGATTAAAAGTGTGACGATAATGCCTTTGAAGAATATAACTGAAAAATACAATATGTCGATGCTTGTTTAAATAAAGTTCTTGTATTCTTAAAGTTCCAATTAATATAATTATTAAGTGACATCAATTAAATTACATTATTACAAACAATGTCAATAATGTTATTAATATCACCCTATTCAAACATCTATTTATTTATCTATTATATATTTATTTTTTCCTCTATCTATTCTATCTATTACGATTTTACAATCTTCAAAATTGTGATTTCACCCAGGTAAAATATAACTAATTGTTAGGCTTCTAGTGTGATAAAATGGACAACTTTTTTTTTCTGTTGAGCATCCAACGCGTGATGGAGTTGAAGAATTTGACGCTTTTTGTAAATTTTGCGAATTTTTAAGAACGACAAAAAGATTAAATATTTTTTATTTTTCACGTCGATATGTAAACAAACATGTAAACAAATAATAATAATAATAATAATGACATAATAAGAAAACTAATATAACAATAATAAACAATCACATCATTCAATCTTTAAAATAGTTATTGTAAGTACTAATTCCTAAAACAATGTTGATCGAGAGGCAGATCCAACAATTCCGACAGCACCCATTCTTTTTTTTTGTTGGACATGATAAAAATAAATTATAAATTATGACACTTTCAATTAGCGCTGCGATATTAATTCTAATAAGTGTCCTCACCCTGGTTAGATCAATTATTATGTTTAATTAAGGTACGCTTCGAATACGTTCATCGCCTGGAGCAACTTTGAAAATCATGATGTAAAATTGAATTAATTTATATTTGTCAATTCCGTCAATTCACCAGATCTTCGCTTGGGTGTTAATTAGTTACGGAGTTAACCTGTATATATACAAAAATTATCCAAACTTTTTTCATCTGACACCAACAATTCAAGCGGTTGTGATCATCATCAACGAATTTTCCAAGCATTCCAGTACAGCCATCATGTTATTTGCTTTAGGTATTTTTGTTCTGCTGTTAGGCATTGCAGGACTTTATGGAGCTATATCAAATAAAATCACGGTGCTGAATATTGTAAGTATCAAACAGTAAAGAAATTGAAATAAAGAATAGAGAAATGTTAAAAAATAGAATTTCATTAATTGATTTATTTATTTATCAGGATATTGCATTTTATTAATTTAATATTCTTTCATTCCAGTATTGGTGGTCGCTATTTGTCATCATTGCATTTGAATTGATACTCGTCCTGTATGTCCTGATGAAATCTTATTTTGTTAGTTACGCTCTCATGTTTTCTCCTCACCACAGTGTCATTATTATTATCATTCACTCCTTATTATTTTTTAGAGGACAGATCAATGCGAAAAAAACTTTATGAACATAAATTTGAAAAAATTCTTATTAAAATAGAAAAGTTTTTCAAACGTAGATAATTTTGTGAAACATTTCTACCGTGAAACTACAAATACCGTTAAAAATGTTGTTGCGTTAGATTCATAGTTATTTCCATATTTCTTTAAAATGGTTGAAATAAGCAATGTTTAATTATTGTACGTTCAACCTAATTGTCTCGTAAAAATCCTAAAATCCTAATGTTATATCTTTAAAAAATATCAAGTTGGTTAATCGGATCAGTATGACTAAGTCCCGACTAACCGGTTTCGATACTATATATATATATATATATATATATATATATATATATATATATATATATCAGCTGCAAACACATATGGTTAAAAGCAGCATAATTGATTTATTCTTTAAATAATTTCTAATTAGTCAGAAAATATGATAGACCGTGTAATGAATGATAACTTCGTGCGATACGATAGTGAGGCAATAGATGACAACCTCACCATCACCCCTCCAACCGAACTTTTCTCTATTTTCATGTATTCAATGCAATTTAATGTTAGCCGATTTCTTCATTTTAATTTAATTTTTATAACTCAAATATCCTTTCATGTTTTTATTAATCTCGATGAAAAACAATAAATATAAATATAGAATATTTTTTAATAATCAAAATGTTTATATGGACAGAGGACAAGTTAATTCGTATTATAATGAATTTTAATTTAAATACGGCACAGCTCGGATGTTGTGGTGCTAACGACTCAGAAGATTACAGAAGGGTAGAATGGAATAGTACGTTTACACTTAAGAACCAGATGATCAATGCCACAGTCCCACCTTCTTGTTGCAAGAATGAAACACTTGGTCTTCCTCAAGCTCTCATGTCAAGAACGTTTTACGAGAATCTGGACGATTGTTTGAGCGGGGACGTCTCCAAAATAAATTTGGACGTCAGTACTATTTATTCTTTAGCATTCAAAATTTCAACAACTTCAACAAAGTTATTGATTAACTTTAAATTGAAACAAACTACAAAGGGATGTGTTGTTGAACTCAAGCGAAGCTTCCAAACTGTATCAACAACACTGGTAATAATTGGAACTGTTCTATTGTTAATTCAGGTTTTGCTGAATATTTCATAGATTCTAGAATTTGTTATACCGAACAAAACTATACCACTATTTGATCTATTATTTTTTGGACAAAACAATTAATTTGTGTATTTTAAAACCAGTTTGAAATTTTTTCAAAATCAATCGAAGGGTGCAGCTTTGTGGACCTCGAATACATTGATGTTAACAACGGAAGACAGTGAATCTTCAAGCGATGATTAAATTGAAAAGTTAGAAAATGTCAGTACCTACTTATTGACAACAAAACATTACAAACATTATATTATTTTTTGAGTGTTTGAGTGTTTATTGTTATTTTTAAATATGTCGATTTTTCAATCCTGAATTTTTCTCAACAATATATAACAATGCAATAAATAAATCTCATGATTGGCACTGTTCATAATGTTGGCGAATTCGTTATACATTGCTTCAAACCCCGTCATATATATTCAAATATTTAATTTATTTATTTATAATTAACAAGAACAAGAAGGTGGAACTGTGGCATTGATCATTCGGTTCTTAAGTGTAATTTATTTAAAATATTTAATATTATACAATTACTCATTCAAAAATGTTTTTTAAAAACCGCATGCCAAAAAATTTCAAATATAAGGATAACGAAATGGTGCAAAAATAACCTCCGAATTGTATCGAATGGCCACTGATTACAAATTTTAAAATGCAACTTTTGAGGATTGATTTGATTGATAAATTAAAACTGTAAATGACAGAAACGAACTTTTATTATGATAGAACTTTTCACGGACGATGAAGTCTTAACAAAAATGTTTGATTTAGAGCTTTTTAACAAGAGAAGATTTAAAAAAATTGGTTGAAGAACAAGGACAATGTTATGCATATTACTAAGAATCCACCCAAATACAATTCAATAAATATTTTAAGAAACAAAATAAATTGCCGACAATGAAGTAAGCCAGTTTTTGTCGGTAAAAAAGAAAAGGATTTAAAAACTCAAAAGTGTAACTTATGGTTGTGAATATATGAAAAAAACTGTTCGTGTTTGCTGAAACAGTAAATTCAAATAAAAAATACACAGGCGCTATTAACACAGCGCACAACAGCTTATTTTTTAAGTTTTTGGCTCATCCTAATAGCTTAAGTGTTAATCGTTTAAGAAAAGCTCTGAAAAATTTATAAAACATGGAAAAGAACATTGCCTATCTTCTTCCATTTTTATATATAGGATTGACATTGCATTTGTTTTTTTAAAGGTTTGCTTGTAGTTGCAGATTCAAATTATTTATTTGAAAGATTTGTAATCTGTGAATTAATTTTGGTGAGATCAAGGAATATTAGACTTAAACTACCCTAACACATTATGAGCTTTATACTTTGTGGCTTGAGTGGCAAAAGGTTATCGCCTAACAACAACACAACAGATGAATGTCGCTGTTCCAACGACTGAGTCAGCTCGCCAACCGATTTTATTTCCGGTCTCTCACAAGTTTTATCTCGGGTTTCTTTCAAGCAGTCTGTTGAACGTTACGTAAATGGCGCTGTAGAAAATATTGGTTGATTGATTAATCAATTAATTGTTGATTGACAAAAAATTTATAGGTCGTAGCTTATATTTTATAATTCAATTAATATTTTAAAATTTAATATATGATATACTGTAGTTTATAAGTTTGTTTTAGGAAGCTTTCATCAATATATAAATGGTTGCTGCTTGAATTATTTTATGAACAATTATTATTAAAGTTATCATGAATATATATATATATATATATATATATATATATATATATATATATATATATATATTCTCATGAAAGCTATGAGTGATTTATTCTAAGTAAATGTATGTATGGATGTGATCCGATTTGATCTAATACGAAGTTAAACGTCTATGCAAATAAACTTAACCAAATTCGTCATCGTTCCTTGTTTACATTGCCTTCATACATAATTCCTCTAGTCTAGAAGATTCGCTCCAGTACTGGCTGCTCACGAGATGTCCTCCAAAGGTAAATTAGATTACAGCAAGTGGGACCACATTGAAGTGAGTTGTTGTTTTAAATAATTTGCTAATTTATAATTAACTTATAAAAGTTTCACATATGAAAAAGCGCGAAATCTTTTAGTTTTAAGTTTTTAACAGTTTTTTTAGTTTACTTTTTTAAAATTTATTCATTTACTACACAAAAACAAAATAAATGGCTAAAAAGACTTACTGGTCACTAAATTATAAATTTTGTTTAGTTTTCTTTTTTTTTATTCAATTGATATTGATGTTTTTTTGTTAAATAATGAAATGTTGGAACCTTAAAAATGAAATAGGATACATAGACATAACATATATATATACAGTGTACAATGTACATGTACTGTACAGATACAAAAATACAATACAGTTATGTAATTTCTTGTTTAGTTTTTACTTTACCTACCACTTATTATATTATAACAAAATCATTCCATTATCAATCTTTTTGTTTTTAGTTTTCATTGTTAATCTGCCTTTGAACAGATTTGTGTTTTTAATTAAATCCTGGCAAATTTATTTTTGGCCGGATTTGCGAAAATCAAATCCAGGACAACCCTAATCTGAACTATTTTTTAAATATCATTAAAATTATTTTATGAACTTATAATTTTGAATGGTAGTTATGGCAGACCAATTTTTTAATCTGATTAATTAAAATTTAAAAACTTTTCCTAGTTTCATTTTTATTTAGCTTGTTTATCTATAAATCCTGCATCATTTAGTCCATTTCATAAATTAGATAGTGAGTGCTAATTTGATATGTTGTTTTACCTGTTGTCTTATAAACCTATTCATTCAAATCTTGGTGTTAATTTTGTCCACAAAACCCAAAAAAATGACTTCATATTTAACACAAAGATATCGGATGATGAAGATGATACCCATCCAAACATTGATACTCCAAGTTTGTTCAGGTGGAGACATCAAGCTCGACTTGAGAGAATGGAGAAAGAAAAGCAAGAAAAGGAAGAATTTCAAAAGGGAAAATTAGAGTTAGTCCTTCCATTTTTTTAAAAGTTTGTAAATTTCACAATCTTTTCATCTCTAACATTCAATTAAACATTGTGCAAGATTAACTTTAATACTATAATCATTCAATTATAAAAATAATGAGGGAAATTTGTTGATACTTGTCTTATTAACAATTTTATGTTATATACCTATTTAGCCATCAACAAAAGTTGCTGTCTATAAGAAGCAAGATTAAAGATGCTGAATCAGGTGATAAGGTATAAAAGGACAATGTTTAATTAATTAATCCTTTTCATAACCTTAAACTATTTTTATGCTACAATTACCCAAGAAGAGCATTTCAGAGGATGTGTCAAAATTAAAATTGGAGTTATCAGAGTTAGAAAAACAAGAAGCTGAATGGAAAGCTAAGGAAGAAGATTTAATGAAGAAAGAAAAGGTTTGTTTTTACAAACATTCTTATCGAAAGTTTCTCTTTTTATAATTAATATAAAATTGTAATTTAACTAGCTTACACCTTTAAACATTGATACGATATGCAAAGAAGGAAAGAGTAAAACAGTAAGTAACCTTTCAAAGATTTTAAAGAATAAATTTTAACATAAATTCGCTTTGGAAAACAATTTTAAAATCCAGATAATAAATAAAGATGAGCCCAGAAAAAAGGATAATTTAACAGAAGATGAAAAAATTGACAGACAGGTTTTTAAGATTGGATTTCATCAAGGTGTTAATTTATAATCTATCATATCTTTCCAGCAAAAGTTTACTAAAGAAAATGAACAGCTAATAAAAAAGTTTGGAATGCTGAAAAGGTATGATGACAGCCAGGAGTTCCTCACAGCTAACCCTCATCTTGTCTGTGAAGAAACTGCAAACTATTTGGTCATTTGGTGCATAAATCTTGAAGTGGAAGAGGTTGAATAATTTTTTTTATATTTGCAACATTTTGTTTAACAATTTAATTTTTTGCCATGTAGAAGAAAGATCTAATGAATCATGTCGCTCACCAAACAATAGTTATGCAGTTTATATTAGAACTTGCTAAATCTCTTGATGTAGATCCAAGAAGTTGTATAAGGGCATTCTTTTCCAGGTATATTTCAAAAGTAATAAATATATTTTCCATTTTATGAATAATAAAACATGGCCTTATTGTCTAGGATCAAATTGGCAGAAAAGCAATACACAGATGGTTTTAATGATGAACTTGACTCATTCAAAGATAGGGTGAGAAAAAGAGCTCAAGCAAAGTTAGAAGAAGTAATGAAGCAAGTGGAAGAAGTTGGTTTTTTTTAGTTTTATTTATAAATCACTGCAAGTGATATTTAATCTTTGCATTTTAAGGAAGAAAGACAAAAAAGATTGGGGCCAGGAGGTCTTGATCCAGTTGAAGTGTTTGAATCATTGCCTGATGTAAGTCATATATTCTCAGCAACTTTGTCTGATCATTTTACTTTGAAAAAATTCGTTTTATAAACCTCTGTGAAACTATGCTTGAATAAATTGGTGCTTTAATACAGCTTAAGTTATGAAAGAGCTTTTTTGTAGTGAGCTCAAAATTTTTTTTGCTATTTTTACTAAACAGCAGGCTAAGAATGTGCAATAAGTTCCAAATCAGGAGCTAAACTTTTTAAAATTTAATATAAAAAAGCAGATAAAGAAACTATAAGAAACTACAATTAACTCTTGGGAAACAATGGTTATTTCAAATAAGTGTATAAAAATATCACCTTAACTACTTTTAGTGTATTCAGAAAAATGCTCAATTCCAGATCCTGAAAGAATGTTTTGAGAAAAAAGACATAGCCATGCTACAAGATGCTGTCACAAAGCTACCCAAAGAAGAAGCAGAGTACCACATAAAAAGGTGCATAGATTCAGGGCTGTGGGTTCCTGATGCCAAAAGTTCCAAAGTACCTGAAGAATCTGAGGAAGCAGGTGAAGATGAAATTTACAGTGAAGCTTCTGAAGCACATGATAAAGTTCAATGACAAATTCTGCAATTTTTGATCCACTTGCCTAAATATGTTTTCGTAAAATTTTAATTTGAAAGCACAATATCAACTTTCTATTTTTACATTCAGATCGATTAAAAAACATTAAATTTGTGTTAACTTTTATTTGTCAAATAAAAGATCGTGAAGACAAAAAAATTATGTCCAGAAATAGTCTCAATTTATGCAACCAACACGCAAGCACCACCAACACTTTTAATTCTGTCTTCAGCTGTCTTGCTAAAAAATTTAGCCTTCACAATAACTGGCTGTTTAGGTAGGTGGCCTTTGCCCAACACTTTGTAATAGCCCTGTCAGAACAAATTTTTAAAATGAAAAATTTAATATATTGTGTTTGTTAATAGATGGGCTAAAGATTTTAGCATTGGAGCTTCGAGTGTACGATTTCTAAACACATTAGTATTAGTCGACGAGTTGGCTCATTTGGTAGAAGTGCCATGCCTCATGCAGTTATGGGATGGCCTGGTTCGAATACTGTCAGTCCAAAACACAATCAAACTAACAAAAGCCATGCACGTATGATGCACCACTTGCACGTGCATATATAATGTATGCGGTGTGGACAGTACAGATTTTGTGGAACAGAGGTTTAAATACAGGGATGGTGCATATATCAGAGCTGATTGTCTCGTTGTTTTGCAATTATATGATCTTCTTTAAAGGTAAAATATACAGTACGCATGTTCAATGTGTGATGATGTATGACAGTGAGACATGGGCTATGAAAGTGGGAGATATGTAGTGTATGGAAAAGGAAGAAAAAAATGATGACTAGGTGGATGTGTGATGTAACACTGAGGTACAGAAAAATGAGTGAAGAGCTCTGAAGAGAGGTTAAATGATAGTTGACGGAAAGAAGGGTAGAGGAGGAGGAAAAACTTGGAAGGAGTGTGTAGCAGATGACATGAGAAAGTTGAAGTTGAGAAGGGAAGATGCACAAGACCGCAATGTATGGAGGAGTGGCATCCTTGGAAAATCTACTACTCATGCAAGTGCGGAAGCATGGTCGTTAAAACGATGATGATGATGATAATAAACTTATTTTGTCAATTAGACTAAAAAACCATACTCAGCATTTTAACTGTTCAAAAGTCTAAATAAATCTCTGTGAAAAAAAAATTACAATTACATAAAAGCAGTAACTTACGGCTCTGACGACATCAATTACTGGAGCAACATCTTTTTTTTCTTTGTAGTGTTCACGAGTCTGTTCTGAAACCAAGCTCCACAGCTTATCAACATTTATTGTTGGACAGAAATATTTCTGTTTGGTCAAATGAAAATGCCTCATGCCAACCTTTCCAAAGTAACCAGGATGGCTGTTTAAATGGTTTTTAAACTGGTATAAGATAAAATTTTAGATAATGACCGAAATTTTAAAATGCAACTAGTGAACCACAAAAAACTAAAAAGGAAAGATTAAATGTTTCCAATATACCACTCAATGTATTAATGTAGTGAGAATGGATTTTTAAATCAATAGAACATGTCACACAAAATTTAATTTTGAACTCTGAAAAAATAATTGATCAATGCTCAATAGCTGATAAATACCAAAATCTAAGAAATTTCATGAAAAAAATGTTTGTGATGATTCACAATCACTTTTAATAATGTTTCACAGCAGCTTGAAGTCTGTTAAGGTAATATAGACGAGATCCAAATTGGCTTCCAACTATGAGACAGACTACAACTAGCCAACTTTACAAGTTAGGTTAATTATACACCTATCTCCCAATTTACACAGTAGATAAGTTCCTGAGAAAAACGTGTAAACCAAAAAGCTTTCATCACTCGAAGTTCTTTGTGCCGAATCGATGTTTGAAGCAAAAATATTTACATTATGAAAAATGGTAATAAAATCGGTTATTAACAATTGCTTCAAATTTTTGTAAAATCATTGTAAACTTCTTCATATTGAGCCAAGCAAGCATGTGTTTAATCACAGTAGCATTTAGTAGAGTGCGATAAAAACAAAAAAACTTATTTGGAAAACCGTGTAAAAGAGAAAACATGTAAAACAAGTGCTGTGTAAATCAGGGGATAGGTGTATATAGGACCAAACAAAAAATTGGTAATCTTTCACTTTACATCAGTTTATTGGTTGGTAATCTTTATCAATCTATTCTAGCAGACATCTAACTTTTACACATAAATAGTTTGTGTTTATTTATGATTTATTGGTTGGTCACCCTAACTCTAACATATCTCACAGAATATCAATACCGATGTTTATGCATCAAGAATGATGCATAAACATTACTCACTATTCTAGCAGACAACCACTAACTTTTACACATAAATTGTGTCCAATGATTTTTTCCGTTTTTTAAATAAAGATCCTAAGGTGATTTAAATACATTGAGAATAAACCATTCTTTGGTTTACATTTCTGATAATATCGCTCTTGAAATTCGAAAAATCATTTATTCTAAATTATTTATTCCTTAACTAGTGTTTTTAAATAAAAATTTATTTAAACATTTAATAATTAAATGGGTACTAAAAAGAAGCCGAAAGATTGGAGATGAGGACAACTGAAAGCGACCTTGGTTTAAAGTTGTGTGAAGATTGCCTTAGCTGCAATAGGGAAAGACTGGCCCAAATTCTTAAGGAGAATTTGCCTTGTGAAAGTTCCGTTCCAGTAGTTGAGGTACTAAGTGAAGAAATTAAAACCTCAACTCAGTTTATGATAGCAAGGATGAATTGTCTTGAAGAGGCTGTAAAAACTCAAAGTGAAGAATGGAAATTGTTAGCAAAAATATTGAAGACTCTTCTCAGGCTTCTATAAAACAGCTTGAGTACTATGAAAAGTTAACTAAAGCTACTGTTGTGCAAAATGAACAAACGTTGATGAAATAGTCTGATGCTGTGAGGGGTGGGGTTAATTTGCTCTCATCTGATGTGAAAATGATGAAGGAGTCAATTCAGGCCACATCAACTAAGATGGATGTTATTAATGAAAGAGAAAAGAGGAAAAATAATATCATTCTGTACAACATGTCTGAAAAGGAAAATATTAAAGAGTCAGTTAACAAGCTACTAAAAGAGATCTCAGGCACAGACTTGGGGACAGAGGTAGTTGAAATTTCAAGATTGGGGAGAAAGTCTGATTTCAACGTTCATTGGATGAAAGTGTGGTATTTGATGATTGGAGAATTAGTCACGTTGTTCCCTTGCACAAAGAAAGGATGTAAAGATTTAGTTCAGAATTATCGTCCAATTGCGCTTACATCAATTTGTCGTAAGATTCTGGAGTCATAAATAAAAGATCACATTATGGATTATTTTCTGAAAAATAATTTGTTTTCATGTAATCAATTTGGCTTCATCCCAGGTCGTTCAACAGTTTTGAATCTTTTGAAATTTTTGGACGTGGTGACTGAAGGAGTAGATCATGGTTACGAGGTTTGTGTGGCGTACTTAGACCTCGAGAAGGCGTTCGATAAAGTATCCCATAGTCGTTTGTTGTTCAAGCTTGAACAGTATGGTTGTGAATCATAAGATAGTAAAGTGGATTGATAAATATCTTCAGGGCAGGGTGTTTCATGTCAAGTTAAACAACACTTTATCGAAACCAAGACCTGTCTTGAGTGGAGTCCCTCAGGGTGGTGTTCTAAGTCCTCTGCTATTTCTCATCTATATTAATGACGTTTCTTCCATTTGTTATCACAAATTTTCGCTGATGACGCAAAATTATTTAAAGTAATAAAGTGTGAGGAAGATAAAATAAATTTTTTGAAAGATTTTGTGAACATGATGAATTGGTTTAAAACTTGGAGGTTGAATGTGAATTCAAACAAATGTCAGCTCCTAAGAATAGGATCGAATAAACCAAGCCCGCCATTTACTATACTAGATGATGAAGGTTTGACGTTTCAGTTACCTGAGGTTGAGGAAGTATCTGATCTGGGGGTTATTATTGACAACAAGTTGAAGTTTAAAAATCATGTGCTAAAGGTAGTTCATAAAGCAAATAGTATAGTATGCTTGGAATTATTACCAGAAATTTCAAACACCTTTCCGAGGCAGCATTTGTAACCTTGTTTAAGTCATTGGTTCGTTCGCACCTAGAGTACGGCGTACAAGCATGGCATCCTTATAGAATTGGTTTGATAGATGAAATTGAAAAGGTTCAGAGAAGAGCTACGAGAACAGTGAATTCTTGCAAGGAACTTCTATATGAAAATAGATTAAAGAAACTTAATTTGCCCTCTCTTGCCTACAGGCGTCGTAGAGCTGATCTCATATTGCTGTATAGAATAATCCATGGGGAATTTATGGAGGATATCAGTCCAAGGGTAATGTTCTCTTGTTATGATCGAACTCGAGGTCACAATCTGAAGTTAACTACAGGTGCTTGCCACAAAGACAGTAGGAAGTATTTCTTTTCTAACAGATCAGTTGATGATTGGAACAAATTGCCCTCAGCTGCTGTAAATACATCCTCTCTATGTGGTTTTAAATCGGCAATAAACAATTTTTTTGGAGATGTCATGTTTCATTGGAGGGCTAATTTCTGATAATTTCTGATAATCCCAATAATATCGTGTCTTTTGTTTATTTTCCTATATTTATAAATTTAAATTTCCGTTGACTCAATTTTTTTATATTCTCTGTTAAAAATCCCTTTGTTTCGGTTCGTCTTCAATTTTGGTTTTTTATTATACTTGTGAGTGTATTAACTAGACAGATTTTGTTGTTGATTCAATTTCCTGTTTGATTGCCACTGTAATGACTTTATTTAACATCTAATGAAGTTAACTCATTTAATTTTATAATGACAATTTGATTTTTATCTTAATCAGTTTTTAATTTTTAAGGGTTTATTTTTGTTACTTTTGATTTTTCGATATTTATTTGGTTGGCAATGGGCTATGCCCGAGCTATTTCTAATAAAAAAGTGAAAGATTACCCAAAAAATTTAATTTGAGTAGCAAAAATAATAGACGAAATTGAAGATTTGTTACTTGTCTAAAAAACCCAATAAACATTAATTCAACAAGCATTCCCTAACCCCAGCCAACTTATTAAAAAATAAAAATCGTTATGAACTTGAAATTACTTAACATTTTAAAAAAAACATTTAATTTACTATACATTTTATTTTTTAAAAATAGCTTAAAACTGAATGTTTGTTAGCTTTTCCCGAGAGATTTGTCTTTGTTGCCAAATGCCTATTTCTTAAACCTCAATGGCTCAGAACTTAACTAATGAATGCTCAGTACAATTACTAAGTTAAGAAGAGTAAGTTCATCTGTTCCCAACAAGCAAGCACTAGCACTTAGCAAGTTAAATAAGGTTGATCATAACATAATAAAAGAAATTTGATCAGAAACAGCAAAATACTATAATTAAAAATAAAATTAAATGCACCAACTATTTATCAAAGTTGATACGATGATGATGTTGACCACCAGCATTACCTCTACCACCGGGATGCTTCCTGTGTTTGCCTGCAAAAAAGAAATAATTTTGTAGCTTCAGGGAAAACAATTTTGGAAAAAAATGCTAACCAATTCGCCCATGGCCGTGGCTGACATGGCCCCTCATCTTTCTACATTTCTTATTTTTTGTCGTCTAAATGGAAAAAAATTAATATTGTAAAATTTTAGAAAATGGTTTATAAAAAATGACTTTAAAAATTAAATATTTTAATCATAAAATAATTTTAGAATAATGCAATAAGCGGATTAAATGGGATTTAAATTAACGTCCTAACCATCTCCGACCGTGTTTACAAAATCTAAACGAGAAAAGGAAGTCGGTGATTTGAAGGGAACGTCAAAACTTAAAAGAACATTTTCGGTCCTATTAATTTTGTGTAGAAAAAAAAATATGAAAGAATTTGAAGAAAACTTGTGTGGTGATTTTTATATATCAAAATTTTCGCCCCAAATTATTATTTAAAAATTCACTGCTAAACATGAAAAGTTTAATTGTTTTATGTTTAAAAAAAATAGAAGTTCGCTGAAAACAACTTAATTTACAATATTCTATAAATTCTACAGAATGATTGGCATAAGTACGTTTGTAGTTCGATTTTTCGATTTTTCTCACTAAAGTTTTTTGTAGAACGTTTAGTGAATATTTACCTATATAAATACTTTCACAAAGTGAACATTTTTCTATATAAACACTTTCACAAAGTGAATATTTCCCTATATAAACCAACTTGCACTGATGATAATTCATTCGGAATCGAAATATGGCCTTATTTGCAGAATGAATTCGGAAAATAAGTTTATTTTGAATTTTAATAAACTAAACGTTCTCCAAAAAACTTTAGTGAGAAAAATCTCGAAAAAACGAACTACAAACATATTAACGCCAATCATTCGGTAGAATTTATAGAATATTGTAAAAATTATGGTCTATTACCAGCATTATATACAATACTATTATTATTATTATTAAAGAAAAATTTAATAAAGCGCTAATTAAAAGGATCTCAAAAGCGCTATCAAAAAATATCATGGCATAAATAAAGGGTTATTAGTAAATTTCAACGAAAAAATTATAAGAAAAAAACACAGTCTTCATTATTTCCTTAATCTAACATGGCACAATAAACAAATAAATCACTCCGTTATAACTAAAACAAGTAAGTTCAATGAATTACGACGAAAATAAGTAAGTTATCAGGCAGGTTCAACTCCGGATCTCTTAGAAAGGCAGGCAAATTGTTCCAACGTTATATATTCAGTCCTTATATATATATATATATATATATATATATATATATATATATATATATATATATGTGTGTGTGTGTATATTATTCATTTATTTATTTATTTTTGAAGAATGACCAAAAAAGATAAACTTGTGGATAGGTCACCCTTAACTAAAAATTCTAAGCATAGATGTAACAGAAATGTCATGAAATACATACACATAAACCCACGCTCACACACATTTACAAACACGCACCATACTACAATTCATATCACAATACTGTTATACAGAATACAAAAGAAAACAGAATCAATGAAATGAAATGATCTGGAAACCAAACATACGCTCACTTACACACTCAAATAAATAGACACATAAACAAATATAGCCACACACCATACAAATATAGGGTGTGGCCATATGTCTCAGGGCTCAGCCGAGTGCATGGACATGAACATATAAATATATATATATATATATATATATATATATATATATATATATATATAAAACTTCAATTTTGGTTTAATTTAACTTGTTTTCATTGGTTAGCTATACGATTTTATTTTCATTTAAGTTGTCATTTTCATGTAGTGTAGGTATATGTTTTTATTTGGTTTGGTGGCCGTACAAGCTCGTTTGAGCTTCTGTGTCTCCATGCTTTTTTGCCTTTTTTGCTGAATAAATTGAATTGAATAGTAATTCAATCGATCGATCCACCCACGTATTACTACTCAGTCACTCACTCACTCACTCACTCACTCACTCACTCACTCACTCACTCACTCACTCACTCACTCACTCACTCACTCACTCACTCACTCACTCACTCACTCACTCACTCACTCACTCACTCACTCACTCAATCACTCACTCACTCACTCACGCACTCATATACACATATATAGTAATTCAATCGATCGATCCAATCAAGTATTACTAACTCACTCACGCACTCACTCACGCACTCATCCGCTCGCTTGCTCAAATCATTCATTTATATAACTATTTTTTCGATGTTCAACGGCGATTAATAGCAGCAAAAACTGGAACTAAAGACGCACCATATAAATAGAATATAATTATAGTTATATTCTATTTATATGAGAGGCACTGGTTCAATAAAGCATTTAATTAATAATCTCTAAGGAATATCTAAAAAAATATTTAAAAATATAATCACATCATACACTTTAGCCTGTGGTAGATCAGATTCCATTGCACTCGAAATACACGAGACCGAACACATTAATTTAACCAGGTTGTTAATATGCTGTTGCCATCCTAAGTGGTTAAAAAGAATCTTAAAAATGTCTGGACATTGAAATATAATACCAACGCCCAAAGCTCTAAAAATTCTCCAAAAAGTATTCCGAAAATTGCGTAGACGGCGGTTTACAGTGGCGGATCAAGACAACTTTGGCGAGGAGGCCTAAATTTTGAACATTTTTTCATTTATCAACATTGAAATTTGGAAAAGTATTTATTTAATCATTGTAATTATTAGTGGTGACAGTTTCAAGTTAGTTTTGTTAATAACACTACATCAAAATTGTTGTTGAGTTGGTTCATACGCGTGGTTTATATATGAGGTGCAATGTTAAGCGTGGAGGTGAATGGAATTTGGAATGCCTAATATTTTTAATTGATTCATGCGAGTGATAGATGGATGTTCTGGAGGTGGTGTGATTTTCTTTAGACACTGTTGTGTATAATAAGTTAGATTGTTAGGATGATTTATTGAGGTTAAGTGACAGATTGATTGCATTGTTTTTGACCATGAAGTTAATTGATCGAGTTCTGATTGGATGGTGTTTGTGAAAGATGATGGGACGACAAGGTGGGCATATATATTAATTCAACCAAGGTAGGTGTCGTCAGCATATTTGATGATTTTATTAGAACTGTAGTTTGAAGAGTTGAAGCATCGACAGATCCTTAAACCATATTGTTAGGGTTGATGAAATTTTTGAACAGAAAAATGTAAAATGACTCCTATTCGCAAGAATTTTTTTTATAACATTGTATATATTGCCAGCTAGAGTAATAGAAGCTATTTATTTGAAAGTGGAAAGTGATTCAGAGTATCAAAAGCTTTAGAAAAGAGCAGTAACATGAACATGATTATTATTTTAAATATAAGATGTTATTGTAGAGGTAAAAAAAAGATGATGTCCGTTATGAATGAACCATAAGGGCGAAATGCGAATTGAATAGCACTTGTAGTTGTTGTTTGTGGTTTGATGACGAATGATTGCAACATGGATAGATGAATGACCTATGAATTTTTCTAGAATACGCGAAAGAATGGAAGTGAGTGAAATTGGGCCATACTCTAGTGATGATGATGGGTGTTTTGTTTTAGGAATGGGATGAATTGTGCTGGATCTCAGTTATGATGGGTTGAATGAATATGTATGCTAAATAGGGAATCTTTGGGTGCTGATGATTTGTAGAAACCATGAAGTGGGGAGACCGCTTAAACATGTACCGGAAGGACAGGCCTGAGAGTGGTGTGATCTGTTGAAATGTTGTTGATAATGATGATGGTTAGTAGTAGTTGCTTTGTATGACTGGTCAACATGACAACAAAGTTGGCGTTTAGCGTGTTGGCATCAATGTCTTGCAAGGTTGGAGTGTTGAGTGATTTTCAGAGCCACTGATGCGATATTTGTAATTACTAGACTTTACTTTCACGTTTGCCGTCGGTGAAAGATTTTGCGTTGAAGTTGATGAGCTTTTTAATGTTTTCTGTAATTGCAGCAGCTTTGTGGATGTTGGTATAGGCTGATGATGAATGAAAGATTTGATGATCTTATTGTGATGTTTGATGGCGGATTATACTTAATTATAAAACAAATTCTATATAAAAAAAACTACAAAAATATCATAAAAACCAACAAAAACGATTATAGTAATGATTAATAATTAAAAATATTAATTTAAAATGATGATGATGCACATCATTATAGTGAATATGTCACGTCGGTCGCCAGTAGTTTAATGTTTATTCACACCCAGTTAAAAAAGTGAACTCTGTTTTTAACACTTTTTTCCGATTTTTACTTCTGTTGATTGTAACTTTTTTTTTATAACAGAATTAATTAGGTTTTATTTGTAATTTTTTCATCATATCTATGTTTAAGAAATCTAAAATGTCAGCAAAACTGTTCACCGAAGAAGATGAGAAAATTTTTAATGAAAATCCAACTTCATGTTCCACTCTGGCCAGTAGCAGCAGTTATGGTGCCACCCCGAACCAGCCGACAGTTACAAACCCAAAATTGTTTGAAGGTTAGTATCTTATATAATTTAATTAAATAATAGCTGATTTAATTTCTATTCAATATACAACTCATAATTAGCTTTGTTTGATCTTAAATTCTTGTACTGTACAAGAAAAATTATTAATTAAATTTTACTACAACATGAAAGCATAATATTAAAATTTTTAATATTATACTTCCATGTTATAGTGTTGCCAGTGTTTCTATTATTTTGTAAAATAATAGTAGATCTCAATATTTATAGATTCTAGAATGAGAATGACTGACTGAACCAATCATCAACCTCTTCTCTACTATTCTTTTGTTGTGCTGTATTCATATGTTTGTTTATTTATTATAGATAGATTATGCCTAAATATTTATTACATACTTTATCTTAGATCATTAAAAAAACCTAGTTTAAAAGGTAAAACACTGTATTATATTTGTGTTATTTATGTTTTAATTTGTATTATTTTACTAATTAAAAATATTTTTAATAAATGTTTAATGAAATTATTTTTTGTATTAAATGAATTTCACTTAGTTTTATTTCATTTTTGTACATTGCTTATTTTTATGAAAATGAATGTGTTTTCCACTAATAACTACCATAGATAAATATTTTATTTATTTTATGTTAATCCTGTCAACACCGTTTAGAAATTTGTTATTCACAATAGTTAATAATAATAATAATATGGATAAACTTTTTTTTCAAATAAAACAGGTTCTGGTTATTCAAGTGTAGATGGTTAGTATTTTAAATTATGTATATATATATATTTATATTTGTTTTTTAAAATAGTTTCCTCTTGAATTGACTCAACAAAAATATTTGAAACAATATTTTTAAATCCACACACCTGTCAAACGACATTAATTTAAAAAAACAGGAGGTAATTTTACAACTGTTGAGCATGATAAATCAAATCTTGTTGATATGCAAGATGACCCAGATAAACCCATGGCATTATTTGAGGTTATTAATTGTTTGAGGTTATTGATTGTTTGAGGTTACTGATTGTTGCTCATGTAACAAAATTCTTTTAATCAGCTCCAGCTGACACTTAACTTCAGAGGCATTTTAAAAAATTTTATACTTGCATTTCAGGAAGATTCCCACCAGAGACCATTTGTATCGAACATCATCAACAGACTGGCCAATTACGAAGGTGGCATCCTACCTCAGATGAGTGAAGATGAAGAGGAGGGAAACAACAAAAAAAAACCAATACCGAAGGTCTGCGAAAATTTAAATGCAGTTTTCAAAATTCATTCATGAGCATTTACCTGTTTGACGTAACTGTCGGGTATTAAATATGATGGTACTCATTATTACTGTTATCATTGACTTTATCACTGTCACAATTTGCTGTACTAAACTTTTTTATTTTCCGTACCACAGAGTACCAAGCTAGGAACAATGATGGGTGTGTATTTTCCTTGTATTCAGAACATTTTTGGTATAATTTTCTTCATCCGATATGCCTGGGTCATCGGGATGGCTGGATGGCTGCAAGCACTCATCATCGTCCTTCTCTGTTGCTTATGTGTTGGTCTTCTGGTTAATTATTATTTAGTAGCACAACAATGTCATGTTTAATCAATTATCTCTTTGATAATTTTTTAGTTTATAAACATAATTATAATGAATTCATGACATGACTTTTTAAACTGATGTTTTACATGAATGCTTAATGTACATTACAGGCTCTGATAACATCAATATCAATGAGTGCCATAGCAACGAATGGTGTAGTGGCAGGTGGTGGTTCGTACTTTATGATATCCAGAGCACTCGGGCCAGAATTTGGTGGTGCTGTTGGGGTATTGTTCTATCTGGGGACAACTGTTGCTGCGTCCCTTTATGTGGTCGGGGCTGTCGAAATATTTCTCGTTAGTTCACATTATTTAGGCTTCACAATTTTTTAAAATTGGCCATTGCAACAAAAGGAAAAAGGAGATAATATTAAAAAAAATAGCCAAGTGTCACACCATGAAATGAATTATTTTTTTTTTTGACTAAATGTTGATAAAAATATTTTTTTGTATTTGCTATTCAACATTTTTTTGGTTGTTTATTTTTTTTTACGCTGGAGGTTTTTAAAATTTGTTTTAAAATGTTACTTTGTTTCCATTTTATTCTGAAATATTAATAAAATCTACAAACCTGATCAGCAATACATGGTGCCACAAGCGACGATATTTCGCCCGCTATCTGATCCGAGCAATGCATTCAACAACTACCGAATATACGGCTCGGTTTTGTTTCTAATAATGTTTGTGTGGGTCCTCATCGGTGTGAAGTTTGTCAGCAAGGTGTCTGTCCTGGCCCTCTTCTGTGTCATCCTGTCCATCATCAGCATCTACATTGGCTACTTTGTGGCCAATCCAACCAGGGGACCATCGTAAGAATTTTTCTAATTTTAAGTTTTTTTTCAAAGTGGAAAATATTGAAAGAAAATTTAATTTTCTGATGTCAATTGATCTGTTGGTTTTTACATATTTTTGAACTGATGGTAATTTTCAAAAATTTAAATTAGTTATTCTAGTTATTCGGGTCTCTGGACGCAAAACGAAGATTGATTGATTCTGCCAACAGATTTTTTTTATTGTTCATTTATATTCACGTTTTATGTTGAATTTTGGTCATTATGCCAATATATCAATTGTTAGTAAGTTTTTCAAATCATTCTCTGAAATGGTAAAGTTTGATGTAAGGTGTTTGATTTTTATTAGGATATGTTTGGTTGGAGATAGGTTGATGTCCCACGAGAAAGTGCCCTTAGCAGATTGCTACAAGAACATTTCTGATCCGACCAGTCGGCTCTTTGTTATGTACTGTGGCTTCAACCAATCAGAATCCGATTCACCTGATTGTAAATATTTCAAGAACAATGATGTCATCCTCAAGCCTGGAATACCTGGATTGATGAGTGGAATATTTAAAAGTTTGTTCCAATATCTGTCATCTTATTAATATATCATCACTTAGCAAAAATTGTATTGGCAATGATTTATATTTTAATTTATTGTATTGATTTATCATGCACATTTGTCATGTTTATTTGGCATGCATCTAAAACTTATTTGCATGCTCAATAATTTTTTTATTATCAACAATGTCCTTCTAACCATTCGAATATTTGCATCAGTTTAAATTTATGTGGGAGGGGACTTTTCATTTTTTAATATTATTCTCTTAGGAGAGAGAATAAGAGAGCACACAGTAGTTATAGTAGTAGTAGTAAGTAGTAGTAAGTATTAGTAGAAGTAGTAGTAACATTTTCTCGTTTTATATCATTGGCATTCCAATCGACGATATCACTCATGAAGAAGTCAGACAGAAGTGCACTCGAGACACTCAGATGAAACAAAGCCAACGTAACGATTGGGTTGCATTCATCAAGATCGTTCAAATCCAAAGTCAAGTTCGACTCAACTGTTCAATGAGGCAGGTCTATCGGTATTGCTTTGTTGTTGCAAATCGGAGACACTAACAGAAGCCATGGGCATCAACTCGATATCTTTGTACGAAAGTGCTATCGAATCGTGCTAAATATCAACCAAGCCGAAGCTCACATGACCAACAAAGAACTATACATGATAACTAAACAAACCCCAATCGGCGAGTTAATTGAGTGAAGACAGTTGCAATTTGTCGGACACTGTCTTTAAGCTGATAGAAGTGAATTAGCAAACATCTATGCCCTTTATCAATCGAATGTCAGAAAAAATAGAAAATGTAGACTGCATCTCTTCTACCGAACGAAGGTTCGCAAATACCTTGAGCACCTGCATCTTGACAATGAACATTTAACCGACGAAATGACCAACCAGATTGGTGAAAGATAGGAAGTTGTGAAGGAATATTGTCGCGACTTACAAGCCCGCCCAATGATGATGATGATTATGAATATTATTTTCTTTGTTTTCAGATACATGACTCCACCTCTATTTTTTTTTTACAAATCTTCACAACCATTCCTTGCACACACATTCACCACTGATCACTGAGCAGATCAAACATCTTCGAAGTATTCGGACGTGGGTGATCGTGTTGGCAGCACCGAGGTTGGCGACAAGAACAAGGGGGACGTTATCTCCGATATCTCATCCAACTTCCTCATTCTCATCGGAATCATTTTCCCCGCTGTCACTGGTTTGTGGATTTTCATCTCTTTTAAATTGCAACTGCTGCTGTGTAGATGGTGGTGGTGAGGACGATTGACTTATTTTGCTTAAAATTCATTTAATAAATGATTCATTGGCACTGTTTACTGGTGAACTTGAAGTCACTGCAATACAATGAACAACAGGATTCATGTCAGGCTCCAACAGATCAGGTGACCTGTCTGATGCACAGAAGAGCATCCCGGCCGGAACCATCGGAGCCGTGTGCACCACGTCACTCATGTGTAAGGGGGTGGGGTCGGTCATGTGGCATATAACTCTGGATGATGCTTTGATTGCAGTTTAAATGAATTTTTCGTTTATGAAGAAATTCTGCTTTGACGTGGAAATTGTAAAAAAAGTTGTAAATGTTTTATCAATGGTTTAGAAACTTTTCATGATGGGATTGGACCATCTTTAATACTAATTTATTGTGCATAAAAAACAGAATTCATTAGAAAGTGCACTTGACTTGTCAGTAAAATTGAATCGCTCTTAACTGTTCTTGTAAAAATTTAAATTGTGTGAAAGTTATAATAATGATTACAATGATTGTTGTGATGAAGATGATGATTACTCTGATGAAGATGATGACTTCAATGGTGAAAGTGTTAATGATGCTGTGATAATGTTTCCATGACGAAAATTGATTTTTGACTAAAGTTTGTTGCTTGACGTAATTATTCCTCAGGATTAATCACAATCGAGCTTGGGAGTTTAGCTGTCTTAAGCAAATGACATGACAGGCAGACTGCGTAATTTTCTATCATACACATGTACCTACATATAACTTGATATTTGTCACACCTATCTATCATGATCTTTCTTCAGACATAACAAGTGTCCTATTGATTGCTGGATGTGTTGAGGGCCAGTTGCTCAGAGACAAGTCAGTGGATTAGATTTTCTCTCTTTTTTCTCTCTCTTATTCTCTTTCTGTCCTCTCTCTCTCTCTCTCTCTCTCTCTCTCTCTCTCTCTCTCTCTCTCTCTCTCTCTCTCTCTCTTTCTCCTGAAATTGTAAATCTGTCATGCATATATGAAATATTGAACAGTGCACTATCCTAAATGTTTGTGTATGATCTTGTCTGAATATTTACGAAAAAGATTTGGTGAGAGCATAGGTGGAGGGCTGATCCTGGCGACCATAGCCTGGCCGACACACTGGATCGTCATCATCGGGGCGTTCCTGTCCACATGTGGCGCTGGTCTGCAGAGTCTCGTCGGTCAGTTTGTTCGATTGCTTGTTTCTTCATACTGTGTTTCATATTGTTCATTCATTTTTCTGTCATTTGTTTTATAATTATTTAATAATTATTGACTATTTCTATTCACAGCCTAATGAAATTTACGTTGCCAAATTACTGCAAGCCTATTTATTCATTTATTCACACCAGACGACATACATTTACCACATCACACCACGGACTGACTGACCACAACCTACCAGGCCACCACACATGTGTTTGAAATTGACTGACCAACACCCAACACAACACATGTGATTAAAATGGACTGGCCACAACACACCACACAACATGTGCTTTATGTTGACTGACTATACCCAACAAAATACGGTTGAATTTGACTGGCCACACTACACGACATTGGTTGGAATTGACTGACCACACCACACCACGTCATACAGGGGCTCCCCGTCTCCTGCAGGCCATTGCAGCCGATGGAGTGATTCCCTTTCTGAACTTCTTCTCAGTGACCACCAAGCAGGGTGAGCCTGTCAGGGCTCTCATATTGACCGGTCTCATTGCTGAAGTCGGCATTCTCATTGCCAACATCGACAACTTCATTTCACCTGTCATCTCTGAGTTAGTTTACGTAGTCGTTGTTTAATTCTTTGATTATATAAATCTTTTTGTTCTTTTGTCTGTATTATCTGTTACTGAATCTGAACCTATTAGTTCATGTTGCAGCCAGTACTCGAAGTTGCCAAGTTGAGTTATGCTGTGTGAAGTATATTTCATTGATTGATTGCGTGGTTTAGTTATCGTATTTTGGTGATATAAGGGCAGTTATTAGTGGTTTGAAAATTTAGACATTCAGTAAATTTATTGTTTTGTTTAGTTTATGTGAAAAACCAATCTTTGAAATGAAATAAATAATGTCGATGTCTCATATTGTATCTTAGGTTCTTCCTAATGTGTTACGGGTTTGTGAACATGGCCTGTGCAGTGCAAACAATTCTCAGGACGCCTAACTGGAGACCTAGATTCAGATTTTATCATTGGTAAGTGCGGATAATGTAATTACTGGCATGCACTTATAATTTAACAGTTTGTTTGGTATTGTACAACAACGATTACAACACACACTCACACACACACGTACTCTCACACACACACACGTACACACGTACTCTCGCACACACACACGTATACACATTGAAGGAGTCTGTCATTGCTTGGAGTGTTGTTGTGCATGACGTTGATGTTGATGACGTGTTGGTACATTGCCATTGTTGCCATAGTCATTGCTGCATTCATCTACAAATACATTGAATATAAAGGGTTAGTTTTGTTGCACACTTCATGCTTGTCAACTTTATGAGGCTGTTGGTGCTGATCCGATGTTTTTGGTTGTTAAAAACAATTTCGTTTGTGTTTTGACTATCTATTTTTTATTGTGTCATTGCAGTTTTTGAAATGTAGTTTTATACATACGGCCATACAGCATAAAATGTCGTCGTGCAAATTAATTTTAAAGCAAACTAGCAAAGCACCATCACTTACTGGCACACCGAATGATAGTTTTCACATGAACAACCAACTGACATGAACAGGGCCGAAAAAGAGTGGGGTGATGGCATCAGGGGGCTTGCCATGTCAGCTGCTCGGTTTGCCTTGCTGAGGCTGGAGGAAGGTCCACCACACGTGAAAAACTGGAGACCTCAGCTGCTCATCCTCATCAAACTGAAGGACACGTTGGAACCCAAATATCGAAAAATGCTCACGTTCTCGACACAGTTGAAGGAAGGTTAGAATTACATCCGCATCAGGTGTGTGTGTGTGTATTTGTGTGTGTGAAACAATTTTAATGGGTAATCTGATGAAATATTTGTGTTAAAAGTACGGTTGAATTTTTCTTATGTGAATATGATTGGTTGGTTAGTAATTTGTGATTTGGTTTTTTTAGCTAATTGGCAGTAGTAAGTGATCAAAAACTTTACGAGTTGTCACGTAAAATGTTGATAGTACCAATAAATTGTGTACTGATATTTTTTAAATGGTTTCAATTGATTACAACATCATCGAACAAACCAACCAATCAATCAACCATCACTTAGGCAAAGGTTTGACTCTGGTTGGTTCAGTCATTGAAGGCTCTTATTCTGAAAAATATGCAGATGCACAAGCCGCTAAACAAACGTTATCAAAGATTATGAAGAGCGAGAAGGTGAGTGAGGATTGAGTGATGACCGGCTTGTTGGTTGTTTGTTTGTTTGGTTGGTTTGTTGTATATGATTGATTGTTGAAGGCTCATTCAATGGATGAATGACTGGTTTGATAGATTCTATTGGTATTTATATGTAACCAGTTGCTTGGATACATGATCGAATGCTCTAATTGAATAATCAGGATTGTCAATGAATCCTTTTGATAATTGTCTGAATGAATGCGTTGAAATGTGCGGTCGAATGAGGTGGTGCTGTACTTTTAAACCATTGAAAGGCGAGGGGATTCGCGGAGGTCGTTGTAGCTGAGAGCATGACTCAAGGTCTTTGCTATTTGTTAGTCGTTCGTGTTTTTTAGATTATGTACTGCTGAAATAATCTTTTGAAAGATTGTGTTTAAATATTTAATTTAAATTTTAATGTCAAAGGCTGTTTTTCCTAAAATTCAATTTACTTTTTGTTGAAAATAGTTTTAAGAAACCAAAAATAATCATCTTGTTAATTTTTAAATGAATGACGTTTGATCGTCTGTCTCTCACTAGAATCCAAGGCTCAGGAGTGGGCGGGCTGACGCACAACACCGTGATGCTGGGCTGGCCACATGGGTGGAGGCACGATGAAGATGAGAAGTCATACAAAGTATTCATAGGTCGGTCGTCAAGTTTTTTTTTCTGTTGTTGGTTAACTCGATTGAATTTATTTTGTGAGTAGGCTGTAGAAAAAGCGCTCCAAGTTCTAAATTTCTTCATTTGTTCGATTGACACTTTTGCAGAGCCAATTTATGTTCCAGGTGGTTGTGCCAGATGGGTTCCTCTATGAACTCCATCACAATCATCCTGTCTTCTTATCGTTATGTGTTATCGTATTGAGGGGGAAATGGTGAAATATTGTATTGTGTATATTGTATTGTATTGTTTATTATTTTGCTTCAAATCAACATAAACGTGTGTATGTCTTGACTGTATAATGAGGACATACATATATATGATATGTATGATGGTGTAGTCAACTTTTCATATATGCTTACGAGTATTAATATATATATATAGCTGATGTACATTTCTCCCCTACACACTCATACACGACAGATACCCTGCGCAATATAAACACTGCTCAACTGGCCGCCCTCATTGCCAAGGGCATCGATCAGTTCCCAGAAAACACTGATAAGTTGGTGGGCACAATTGATATCTGGTGGATTGTGCGTATCCTTTCGTTCTTCTGTGGTGGCCACTGTTGCTGCAGCTATGGCTGTCGCTGTGTGTTGCTGTCCAATGTCGCTGTGTTGAGATTATTATGTCGTTATTTTTTGTTTATAGTGATTGCTATGAATTGTATGTTTGGTATTGTTTAAACATTTGTTGTACTGCATTGTATTAACAATCCTTAACGTGATAAAACACAATGGACTATGGCAAAATGCATGCGTGAATGAATGTATGAACAAACAAATGAACGAACGAACAAACGAACGAACGAATAAACTATGGATAACAGATGATGGAGGACTTTTGATGCTTCTGCCATTTTTGCTCATCCAGCACAAAGTCTGGAAACTGTGTAGCATGCGCATCTTCACTGTAGCTCGTAAGTTTTGTTGTTGTTTTTTTTGTGGATGGTTGCTGTCGTCATCATTGTCGTGATCGACATCATTTTTATTCCTTTCTTTTTGATTTTTTTTCTGAAATAAAATAATAATCAGTTATTAAGTGTTCGAATTAAATTTTAAACAAAGTGTTAAATAAATAATTAATCATTTGTTTTTCAATTGGTTATATATTTTCTTCTAGCCTTTTATCTACGAAATAACAATAATTATAACAATAATAATAATAGTGATAATAATAATTATTATTATTACTGTTACGCTAATATTATTATTTTGATTTTAATAAAAACACTAATGGCCGTCTTTATAATACTTGTACTGTTATTGCACGGTCCCTTGCCCCGCCCCGAACACGACAACAGAGATGGACGACAACATCGATCAGATAAGGATGGATCTTCAAACCTTCCTCTATCACTTGAGGCTGAAGGCAGAAGTTTTTGTCGTTCCGCTGGTCTGTTACCTTTTCTGCTCGCTTCATTCATCATTACACCTTATTCAAAGGCCTGCCTATGTTGTTTTTAATTAATCTATACTGTTCCATTAGTCACGTAAATTCATTTAGTACTGCACACAAACAGCAGGGTTTTACATATTTAAATCCGGTGCAGCCTTGGTAGGTACCATTCTTTTTTTACCGTTATTGTCAATATCGTATTGCATTTAATTCGTCATGGTTATTTCATGCTGGCTCTTTCATGTCTGTTGTTATGCATGGTTCACGGCATTGTTGCTCTATGCTGGCAGTTTTTAAGTTCCTCATCATTCATCATGATGTCACCCACCCAACCACAGCCGGACAGTGCCATCCGAGCTTACACCTACGAACGAGCACTGATCATGGAGCAGAGATCGGCCATGATGAAGGAGATGAGGCTGAAGAGGAAGAGGCTAAGGAACATGGTAAGGGTCATTATAGGTCATCTGTTGGGGTCAGTATGTCATGGTCACAGTTGGTCAAAATGGTGGTAACGGTCATGATTGTAAACGATGATAATTATAGCGATGGTGATGATAACGGTGATGATGATGATAACGATGATGATGACAACGATAACGATGTTACCGGGACACCGCAGCCTCAGAAGATGATGGATGATGCCGCAGGTCTTCATCAACAATCACCTTCACCTTCAACTCCAGACGAAGATTATCAAGATACTCAGACCCAGGCATTCGATAAGGTTGATGGATGGAGTGAAGAAAATGATAAGAGGGATGAGTTCAATGAGGAACTGTTGAGCATCAAACCGTTAGTTTCTGTTTCAGTCATCAAGTTGATGCATTATGCGCCATTTTGCATGCAGATATGTGTTGATGCTGATCTGTTTGTTGTTTAGCATAATAAAAACTTGTAAGAATGTCGTTACGTGCTCTAATAAGTCATTTTTAAAGTTCTTACTCATCTAAGTTTTTTGTGAATGGTTTAGAACATACTATAACTTGTTGATAATTTATTAAATCACATTTTTAGATAATTCGTTTTGCGTCACAGTTTGGTGTAAATTGATAAAACTTTAATTTGAGACCTGTCTCCTTACCCACCCATCTATCAACTCAGAGATAAGCAGAACGTGAGACGAATGCACACAGCAGTGCAGCTGAATGAAGTGATCGTTGAGAAGTCGCACGACGCCCGCCTCGTCATCCTCAATCTGCCGGGTCCTCCAAAGTCGTCTGCTGGCGAGGAGAACTGTTCGTCTTATCTTCTGTTTCATCTTCATAATGAATATTTGATTACCAAATGTTTCGTTTACTTCTATTTTTTGTCACATTAATGATACAGTAAATAAACAATCGAGTTAATTATAAACTGAAACAAGCTTAATGCGACAAAGTACAAATATATGTACGGCACATATATGCGTGCATGGCAAGTATGTAAGAAGCAGATATTTTCACAACAGATATATGTACACAGATACACACAAAACAACATGCGGATATGTAGATAGCCAACATACAGACAAACATACACACCACAAACACACATGCAGATATGGAGTACCTGGAAGTTCTGACGGAAGGTATCGACAGGGTACTGATGGTGAGGGGAGGAGGCAGAGAAGTTATCACCATTTACTCCTGACCTGTCTTCTTCATTATTCACCTTCGTTTCTCACCATCACCATCATTTCTGCTACTGTCGTTCTTTCTTACTATTAATTATTCGTCACTGGAAATTTGTCATCATTTCTTGTCTCTCACTCATTTTCATCCTCTCGATTCTGTAACTGGTTTTTTAAAATGCTTCTTCTATCTCTTCCTACTGACCTGACCAGCCCCTCTGCTGCTGACGGCAATTCAATTCAGCCGACTGACCAACTAGGACAACGTGGGTCGCCCGCCATCAACGCAATCACTCGTCTGCTTGCTCTATTTATAGGCAACATATCCTGTTTTAGGCAAAAGCTTGTCTAACTCAACGTATTGTTTCACTTTTATTATGTGACTTTGTTTAACTGTTAATTTATTTTATTGGTTGTTCTTTACAATGGAATGTAACGCTTATAATAACCATATATTGAAAGTTTAGATAAACATATTCAATAAACATATTCAATGTAAGAAAAAAATTAATTATTTTTTTGCTTAATTTTCCTACTCATGATTACACATCCAATCTTAATGATTCATTACAAGTCATGTTACTTTCCTTTTAAGAACATGTCGTTGAACTTTGAATCACTATGAGTTTTCAAATATCATTTTGAATGGCTTTACTTTATTTTTTAGTATACAATGTAGTTTTTATGAGCTTGTATTCTATGTAAATTTTATTTAGTTTCTTATACATTTTTTCATTCTCGCTGCAAAATTCAATTGAAATTATTCAACACATTTTAATGTGTTGAATAATGTGTGTGCGTCACCTTAATGTTTTTTTCTCAAGCAAAAGTGACATTGTGCTTTATTGTACTTAGTTTTATTTAACACATTTTGTCTTTCTTTCCTTTCTTTCATTCACTCATTAGATCATTCATTCATTCATTCATCAAACGAGTGTGTCTGATTATTTGAATTGCAGGATCATTCAGCTACATGCCATATGTTATAGTGAATTTTAATTAAATAAAAATTTCGTTGAACCATCGTAACCATCTCTTCGTTCCCAGCCCACAATGCTCTGCAACGTTTATTTGAATTTATTTGGTGAATTCTATTGCATGCTTTATCCAACTTCATTAAATTTGTAGATAACATCGCTATGACTTAGGTATTTAAACTTGTATGCGTTTTGTATACATGTGTGTTTATTTTTTATTTGTGCTTCAAATGAACAACATTAAGCAACAACACTCAATGTATATATTGTGTATTGTATTTTATTTTTATTATCTCTACAACACTTTCCTTCGTGAAAACGTTCTATGTGGCCAGTTACTATTGGAAGAACACACCAGTCTTATATTGTGTTTTACTGACCGTTAATCACATACCCAATGTACAAGTCTATATACATTCGTTATATTATTTATATGCATACAATGATATAAATAAGTACACGCATACTTGTAATTAACTTTATATTGTAATTACATTAATTTATATTATATAACAAGTATAGTTTTGTTGAATTCTTGAGATTCTTGAAGGTTAATTTGCCTTTTTAATGAGTTTATCCACATTAGTTATTATAGTAAATTTATTGATGACAGCCATAACACCTGGATATCTTGTTTACTTTTCTTTGGCATACCAGCTACAAAAAGTTAACACCCACGTCAAAATGTTGCATTTTATTTTTTTTATATTTTGTTTTTAACTTTTGAGTTTATGAAGCTTTGTATTATTTCATCTCGCACAAATCCTTCATCATATTTTTTAATATCTCAACGTTTCTTTCAAATTATGAGTTATTTAAAATGTACACTCTGCAAACACGTTGGCACGATTATCGGCAACAAAGTTTTCTTCGTCGTACATAGGTTTAATGGCAAATTCACACTTCTCTCATCTCTAAAACATTGCTTTCCCCTTTGAATCAGTGCTAACTAATACTTCGGTTGAATTAGCCAAAAAGATTGTTTTTTTTGGCTACTTTGTGATTTGTTTTTCTTAAAAGAATCTTCATTTTTGGGGTGCTCGTGACTGTTGTTAAATAAATTTGAATGATTATTAATATGGTTCGCACAGCTGTGAATGAATTTGTGCACTTCTTATGTAATTGTGACGTGATACTGATACATGAGAGAGAGAGAGGAGAGAGAGAGAGAGAAAAGGTAAGAGTGATTCTGAACTGAGTGATGTCCGACTGGATGAATGTGGATATACTCGACCTTAGTAAATTTTGAAATATTTTGTTTTATCGTTACCTTGGTGTTAATCCTCAAATAATATGTAAGCATGTCACGCGAGTTTGGACACCTTGAAAATATTTGTTTGTGATGCTACCAAAGATGAAGATAATCATGTTTATTGATTGTCGCAATTAATCGCTTTTTTCGTTGTTACTTCATTTTATTTCATTTATTTATTTATTCTTATCCTTTTATTTCATTTATTTATTTATTCTTATCATTTATTTAGAATATTTTAATTGTTGAATATTTATTTTCCAATAGAATAGTCGTTCTACAAAAAAAAATTAAAATAAAATAAACGAAACAATACTAAAGCACATGCACAGTGACACCACGAAACAAAACGACAGAACACAGGAATTCTTTCGATCAACAGAAAATAAAACATGTTCATTCGCTTAAAATTTATCCTCCTAATTTGAAATCTTCTCAAAACCGCTCGGGAACGAATCAGCTATAAGAATACAATGGAATAATCAGTCTTTTGTGGTAATAAAATTGAAAATTTACTTATTATTATGTAACAAAAACTTTTTCAGATAAAATGAAAACAAATTCTATAAAATTGCCAGTCCGTTGATGATGTCTGCTTAGCTCTCCGGATCGCTGTTGTGAGTTTTTTCACTTTTGATGGGGTTGTTGAACGAGGAAGGCGATGAGGATAGTGATGATGGGTGGTCCGTTTCATCTTCTGCTTAAAGTTTATTCATCGATTATTTTATATTAGTCATATTCATCTATTCACCTAATAATGTTCTTATTGAAGAAAACATTTTGTGGTTTGTCACTTATGAAATGAGTACTTGAAAGAGTGAGGAGGGAGAGAGAGAGAGAGAGAGAGAGAGAGAGAGAGTGACATAAAACAGGCATTTAAAACTATGACCTGTCCTTACGATCACTACAGCCAATACAATAAATTTCAATTTTACATTTTAAATCCATATCTTTATTTCACAATGCCCATGTTTATTTCATAAGTGGTGCAACAATTTAGTCGTAAAAAAAGTTCTAACGAGATAGGTGCCTCGTGAGCAAATCAACAGAATCACTGGTTGCATCTGCCATGCTACTGCTGTTTAAAATTATTATCATTAACTTTCTAAATTCATTTAGAATCATTCATCTTATTTATTATAAGAGCAGTTTACATCAGCAATCATAATTTATTCTTTTATTATAGTTTCAATTATCATATTTAATTATTTAATTACATTGCAATCAATTAGATTTCAATGATTACGTATAAAAAATAGAAAGGTGAAATTTGGATGAAGTGCATAAGTCTTAATTGATGATAAGTGATGGGTGGTAATGGAAAATTTATTTTATTAAATCACGCCAAACTTTTACTTTTCATCTCTTAGGTCAGATTTCTTCATCTGTGAAGCAGGTCTAGATCTGAAAGATTGCAAATCATTTGACACATCAAGTATTTTAAAGTGGTCATAAAAAACTTTCTAATGACAAGTGACCTCATTTATCACCAATAGTATCAACAAATTAATATAGCTTATTCAATCAAATAAATAAGTAGAAAAACTAATAGCAAATTGAATGAGACTTGTGATTGTTAATGAGCATAGGTGTGCACTCCTTGACTATCTGCCTGGCCAGGTTGAAGAGGTCCTCCCGTCGTGTCACCAACGTTGGTCGGTGGATGCACAGCTGTCCCGCTGCTTCATTTATGCACATCTGTGAGCAACATTACCTCATTAACTCATATCACCAAATGCATGACCATCTCTATGCAACATTGTTGTTATTAATCACCATCAAACATATTCATAAATGCATATCTGTGAGCAACAATATGGACACCAAACATATTTGTGACGTATTTGTGACACTCATAACAAGAAATTTGATTCAAACAGAGAAAGGTGTGCAGTTAGAAAAAATTACCTCATGCCAGTTTAGTAGTTTATCTGATCTTCGTTTGGAGTCGAATCGTCCATATATGGCAGAGTACTTCCTTAGTAACATGTTTTTATCAGGGTGGTCGTCTGGATAATTTAATAACTCCTGCAACAAAAAATTAAAATTTAGTAACTTCCTTCATTAGAACGGAGTGAAATAAACAAATGAGCAAATGCAATGAATTACAATTTAATATTCAACAAGGCAAATCTGTAGCCATGCTGCATACTTCGATTTGTAAATCAATGGGTTTTTTGGAATTCAAAGGTTTTGGAGCAAAGAGTGGCAGGTTGCAGGCCATGGCATCAACATGGGAACGAATTGTATGAATTTGTTCGTCGGGCAGCTTCTGAGTTTCAAGTTTGTTTACAACTTCAGAGTGAGTTGGTACCTTGGCAAAAAATATTTGTTAAAATTATTATTTATGGTTGACATCTAAGAATAGATGTAGTGATTTTATAAAAATTTAATTAAAGTAAAAAAAATGAAATGTGTTGCTAACAAAAAAATCGATTACAAAATAAATGCAGATGAACAAAAAAATTAAAAAAAAGTAATGCACATTCAGATACAAACATGTGAAATGGATTTTAGGGAAGCATCACTGGTGAAAGCAGGTGAGCAGTTATTCATCAATTGATTGGAGAGATGCATGGAGGCATAGAGAGAACCATGAAATGGAGAGCTGTTGGAGTGGCCAATGCGGTTGAGAGGCATTTGGTTGTAACCAAACATATCTGGAAACAATCGTATTAACAACCTTAATTATTTAATAACAATTCAAATCAATTATAGCCTGTTTAACATAACTTCTGATCAAAATGAAAAACACTAATGTAGTAATATAACCTTACTAAGTTAGTAACTCATAATTTACTTGAAAGAGTTTCACTTGTGTTCAGTCAGGTGATGAAGATTTTACATTTTGTAAAATTTTGTCCGAGTAAATTTTATATATTTAAGAATTTATAAGTAATGTTCATTCTTAAAAACGATGAATGTAAATTGAGATAAATATTTGCTCAATTAGAAAAAGTACATGCATTTAGTTGAAAAACTAATTAAAACTAAGCAAAATAATCTATATTTTTTTCAACATTTATAACAATTTTGAAATGAATCAATGCAAGGACTTGGTGAGATTAAAACTAGAATTTTAAACAGTTGAAACAGATGACTAATCACTATTAGATGATTTATTTATAATAAACCTGGATTACTGATCCATTCCTTGAGAACTTTTTGAAGTCTTCTAACATGAAGTGGTCTGCTGGACATACCAACTAATGCCATTATTTCAAGAAACTCATCCTCGCTGGCCTCACACAGTTGTGTCACATCATCTCCACCTGGTAATTAAAAATATTCAAAAAAATTAGAAAATTACAGAACATAGTGTACATAAGAAAGAAGAAACTCCTTGAAGCACAATTTTTTAATATAAATTTCATTTCTTTATTTTATATTTATATTATTTAATTTAATTAATATGATTCAATTCATTAAATCGAAATAAAATTATAATAAGCATCGAACACGCAGTGTAAGAAAGGAGGTGAGTGATTCAGACGAGTAAACAAATCTGTTCACATTGCTACACAACAAACAGCAGCACTACTTAACCGGCCACTGGAGTTTTGGTATTTTATATACTGTACTATGCTATTTATTTTATTAATACCATTCTGACTGCTGACAAAAAAACTGGACAACAAGATTCAGGAGTGGGCAAGACAAGAAAAATAATCTAAGAGCTAATATTATTAATAAGATTAGTAGTAGAGACTAATTAGTACACAACACACACACACACACAACCTACACCTTTATTAGGCAAAGGACAATTCTCAAATAATAATTAAAAGAAAAGAAAGATGCGGCAGACGAACCTTGGGAAATGAAGTTGTCGTAATACTGGAGGAGGTTGGCTTTCTCAAGAACTTTGAAGAGGATCCACTCACTCTTGGATATGCCGACACTGCCGTTCAAACCAACCATACTCATCGCTAACTTGAAATGAAAGTAACCACTAACTACACAAAAAAAATTGCCTAATCTAGTTATAAAATTTTTAAATACTTTTTATTTTAACTTCAATTCAACCAAAATAAATCGTGAACAACCGCAAATTCAAAACAATTTCATTTTTAACCACAACAACTTTTAAATATATAAAATCATAAAGCGCCGATTTTTAAAAAAATTTGAGATATCTTATACATATATATATGATCTTATATATGTATTAGTGTTCAGCGAACATGTGAGTTTGTAAGATTCTGTAGGACAGACTGAATTTTATAATATATACACATTTATGTATTAAATTTACAATTTGTACATGTGAAATGAGTTGGTATATAAATTAAAATTTTGAAACATTTGCAATCACAAAGTTATCTAACCAAAGAATATTGTTCAATAAGATTATTTTATAAAAATAAATATAATGAAAAGAATGTATTATCGGATAAGTTGTTGGCCATTTTATTTTTTATCACATATTGATCGGCAACGATTTGGATTCACAGGGAAGCATGGATTGCTGTTTGACAACGTGTGTGTATATCTTGGATATTATGTGTGTTTATGCATATATATATATATATATATATATATATATATATATATATATATATATATATATACATATATATATATATATATATATATATATATATATATATATATATATATATATATATATATATATATATATATATAAATATCTATATATGTATATATATATATATATAC